ATTTGCAGATATGAGGATTACATTTACAGTTATGGGGGACAGCCTGAAAGTTGAAGAATCTAATTACAATGTTGTAAAGGGGTTTGACTAAAAAGTGCACAAATAAATTGGGTGAGACCAGGCTTAATAGCAGTGGCTGTGAGAGGGATCTTGGAGTCTTAGTGGACAACCAGCTTAATATGAGCCAGCAGTGTGCAGTGGCAGCCAAAAAAGCCAATACTTGAGAGACCGCCTGCTGCCAATTACCTCCAATAGACCGATCAGATCCCACAGATTAGGCCTCCTCCTCCTCCGAATTCCATCCGCAGGCCAATGCCGACTGGCGACAACCCGGAGGAGAGCCTTCTCTGTGGCTGCTCCGGCCCTCTGGAACGAGCTCCCCGTGGAGATTCAAAAACTCCCCACCCTCCAGGCCTTCCGCAAAGCCCTTAAAACCTGGCTGTTCCGACAGGCCTGGGGCTAATGAGCTTTTGTCCCCCCCTCCTTGAATGGTATGGTTGTTGTGTGTTTTTAAATTGTGGTATTGTTTTGTCCATCTTTTTTTCCTTATTTGTAACACCCCCCCCCTTGACTTGCGTTGTGAGCTGCCCTGAGTCCCCTTCGGGGAAAAGGGCGGCATAGAAATATAATAAATTCAATTCAATTCAATTCAATTCAATTCAATTATGATTTTATGAATCTCAGAATGAGTATATACGGCGTGTCAATTATTTGTTAGGAAACGTGTTTTGCTCCCTTGTGGCTCAATTCTTTGGATATAGGTAAGACATTCTGACCACAATAAAATATTACGATTCTTCCCCCACCCCATCAGTAAAAGCAACCAACTTCACATCTTCAGCTAAGGCTGCAGAAAACCAGCTGCCCATGTTTTCCCCGAAGACAAAAGGAAAACAAAGCCATAACTTTTCCTTCAGAGTTTTTAAAGAACAACAACAAAGAAAAAGGAATATTGTTTGACAGGGACTTTGTTACCAATAAATGGAAAGAATTTCTTTTTTTAAAAAAAAAAAGTACAAAAAGGATCGTTGGCTTTTAAACATCAGATACCTTTCAAGGATCTTCGGCAAGACTTCCCGGCGAGATCAAACTTTCTTCCACCACTTGCTCCGTTATACCGTCCACCAGAGAATGTTTGGTTTGTTCGTAGTCTTTTTCCCCCGAACTCCCTCCCATGCTCACGGGTGGCGCCATTGTGCTGTATCGACGTTTTTTCAGTTTCTTGGCCGAGGTCAATTCATCACCACTGACTACGTAACCGAACCCTAGAGGCGGTTCGTCGTCGTTATATTCGTATTTCTGGAGCCTCGGGGCGTAATTTGAGACAGCCGGTCTGAAATAAAAATGCGTGAGATGCCACAGGTGGCACACGGAGCTATCTCTGAGGGCGCGCGAGCTGTTGTTGTAGGTCAGCTGCAGAGCACATGCGCACGCCAGCCAGCTGATTTTTGGCCTTGGAAGGGCCTTCGAAGAGCCGGGAGAGGCAGTTTTCACCCTCCCCAGGTTTAAGGAGAGCTTCTGAAGTCTGAGGCGGGCAAAAAACGGACCTACCGGAAGTTCGGAAATGGATGGTTTCCAGCTTCCGGAGGGCCACCGGGGGAGGCTGTTTTCTCCCTTCCCAGGCTTCAAGAGGGCGGGAGGGTTGTGCACGCAAGTATGGGGAGAGCAGCGGATGGGTCATGTGTGCATGCACGGGGGTCGTGCAGGGGAGATTGAATTATGGGTATGGGCATGCGTGCACGCTATTGCATGCGTATACACGCTTTCGGCACCCGAGCCAAAAAAGGTTAGCCATCACTGCTCTCGAATATGGATCTCGCCGGGTTGTTAATCACAAGTAGTCCTCGACAACAGCCATAATTGAGCCCAACATTTCTGTTGCTAAGCAAGACCGTTATTAAGTGAACTTTGCCCTGTTTTGCAGCCTTTCTGACCACACTTGTTAAGTGAATCGCTGCAGTTGTTACGTCAGTAGCAACAGTTGCAAAGTGAACCTGGGTTCCCCATTGACTTTGCTGGTCAAAAGGTCACAAAATGGGATCAGTCGACCTGCAACTGTCATAAGTACATCCCAGTTGCCAACTGTTTGAATTTTGATCACGTGACCCTGGGGATGTTGCAATGGCCAGCCATGTGCAGCAGCTGCCAAAAAAGCCAACACAGTTCTAGGCTGCATAAACAGAGGGATAGGATCAAGATCACATGAAGGGTTAATACCACTTTATAATGCCTTGATAAGGCCACACTTGGAATACTGCGTCCAATTTTGGTCTAGGGGGCTGATGTCGCGGCGATACGACGCGTGATCATGATGTGGAGACTAGAAAGTGCAGAGAAGAGCAGCGAAGATGATTAGGGGACTGGAGGCTAAAACATGAGAGGAACGGTTGCAGGAACTGGGTATGTCTAGTTTGATGAAAAGGACTAGGGGAGACATGATAGCAGTCTTCCAATATCTCAGGGGCTGCCCCAAAGAAGAGGGAGTCAAACTATTCTCCAAACTATTCTCCAAAGCACCTGAGGGTAGAACAAGAAGCAATGGGTGGAAACTAATCGAGAGAAGCAACTGAGGAGAACTGAGGAGAAATTTCCTGACAGTGAGAACAATTAATCAGTGGAACAGCTTGCCTCCAGAAGTTGTGAATGCCCCAACATTGGAAGTCTTTAAGAAGATGTTGGATAGCCATTTGTCTGAAATGGTGTAGGATTTCCTGCCTAGGCAGAGGGTTGGACTAGAAGACCTCCAAGGTCCCTTCCAACTCTGCTATTGTATTAATGTTGGTGGGCATGGTGTGGCTTGGTAGGTGTGGCTTGGTGAGCGTGGCAGAGGAAGGATACTGCAAAATCTCCATTCCCACCCCACTCTGGTGCCAGCCACAGGTGGCATTTGCCAGTTCTCCGAACTACTCAACATTTCCGCTACCGATTCTCCAGAACCTGTCAGAACCTGCTGGATTTCACCCCTAATCTAAAAGGATGTTTTTGTTTGTTTAGGGAATCTATACATTTGTCTCGGAGAACCTCTTACCGGGTAATAGCTACGCAGTACAACATCTTAAGTATTCGGAGCTGCAAGCAACCTTTCGCCAAGTATTTTAGTGCTTTGTCGGTAACATTTCTGCAACCTGAAATATCCAGATAATGCAGGAAATTGCACCCTGAAGCTATTAACTGAATCCCTGCATCGCTGACCTGTCAATCAAGCAAAACATTACCCAGAATTAAAAGCTGTTGGTAAATGATTTTCAAAAGTCAACATTGTGGAATAGGAAATCCTTGATTTTAGGGAGTATTTAATCTACAAGAATGCATCTCTGTTTTTCAATTCGATCTCTGTCTCGATATAGGAAGAGCACTTAGCCTTATATACCGCTTTGCAGTGCTTTACAGCCCTCTCTAAGCGGCTTACAGAGTCAGCAAATTGGCTGAGTCAACCTTCAGCCTGGTAAGATTTGAACTGCCAAATTGCAGGCAGCCGGCAGTCATCAGAAGTAGCCTTCAGTACTGCACTCTAACCACTGCGCCACCGCGGCTCATAACTGAAGCTTTCTGGCTGAATGGATATTCTCCTACCAGTTTCAACAAATGCCTTAAGCTAACTCTTCATAGTACGCGTGTATCTTGCAAACAAGACGCTTTCCCTGCTTATAGAGAACATGAATACTTATCTGTTTTTCAAATTCGATCTCTGTCTCATAATTGAAGCTCTTCTGGCTGACTGGGAATCGTCCTACCAGTTTCAAGATATGCCTTGTGCTAAGTCCTGAGAGAAAGAGTGGCTCTTTCCCCTCTCTTCACAGAACTTTTGTTTAGATTAGGGAAGGGGCGTCAAACTCAATGCAGAAGGTTACAGGAAGCCATCATCGCCTAAAACAGAGCTCGCGAGGACCGCATGCGGAGCTCGTGAGCTCCATTTTTGCTAGCAGAGGGTTTCAGGAGGCTGTCCCAGCCTAAAATGGAGCTCAGGAGCCCATTTTTGGCTGGCAGAGTGCTCAGGCCATCACAGGTGCCCCCAACATGAGTGATGTCATGCTGGCCATGCCTCCCCCTAGCCATGCCCCCACCCCCCGACGTCAAACACAACCCTGATGCGGCCCTCAATGAAATCGAGTTTGACACGCCCGGATTATGGTATCTCATCTTGGCAACTTTAAGATCTGTGGATCTCAGCTCCCAGAATTCCCTGGAGTTGAAGTCCAAAAGTCTTAAACTTGCCAAGATTGGACACCCCTGTTTTTTAGAAAGAAGGGGTGAACCACAAATGTCTCCCATTCCCATGATCTACATCAGTGGTGGATTCCTACTTGTTCGGCCGAAATGGTAGTGGTATGGCGGCCTGGGTCGCTGGAACTGGCAGCGACCCAGGCCTGCCACACTCCCGAACCTGTTCTTCGGTCTCTTCTGCTATCACTGGTATGTTTCTGCGCATGTGCAGAACAGTTTTAAATCAACTGCGCATGCGCAGCAACACGTGGCGGGTGCACGGGCGAGCGAATTGTGCAGCGCACGCGCAAAACGCCCTCTCAGCAAACTGGTAGTAAACCGCTTAGCAATCCACCACTGATCTAGATTCAGCCACAATTTTTGGCAAAACATGTAGAACCAAACGTGGACTCAACAATAATATTGTCACACAGGAATCTCTACCTGAAAAAAAGAGGAATTTACAAGAATCTCCATGTGCCAAAATTATTAGTAACAAACATTTCTTAATCACTCTGGATGGGGCAGACTTAACAAAATTCTGGAAAGGTTTTTTATTACTCGTGACATATTCAAAAGGGAAAAAAGGTATTAGTTATCGTAGTTTTCCTACATACCTTGAAACATCCTACCAGTATAAGACATGTGATTTTGCGACAATTCAATGACAAATATTTTAATGTAGAATTTGATATGTGCCGGCAGAAAGACAAATCAAGGTAGTCTAGTTTTTTCAAGTCAGCGCTCAATATCTGGAACATAAGTTACAAAGACGTTTGATTTAGATGTGTTTGTATGTAATTACTAGAGATCTTATGAGTTATGTTCATTAATGCAGCCTTTAAAATAACTGGCTTTCTCCTGATACACATATATCAAATATATACCTTTTAGCAAATCCTTGGTAGTAAGATGATATCTGAGGATTATTTCATCTCTCATAAACGATGCTTTCACACCCCCACAATTCGATGCATTTGATCAATTTGATTTGATATATTAATTCATGTTCTATGTTTTAAAACTGTAACTAGACCCTGGACAAGATAATTTCGAAATTACTAAACCAGCTTAGATGCTACAATCAACACACAGTGGGAACACAGACTTGACCTGATGGATTCATGGCTTCCCCCGCCCTGCCCCCTAGTTATTCTGTGGTTGGGAAAAAAAATGACATATCAAACTTGCAATTAGTAAACAACAACATAAAACAGTTTATAAAGAACCCAGTCACATCTCCTTGCTCCTTAAAAAAAAAATGCAGGAAGTAACATTATTTCCAACTATTTTTAAGAATAACACCATATAGAGTAGTTATTACTTCTTAAATATAATAACTAAGTATTTTTCAGAGTATAAGATGCTCCAAAACAGAGGTGTGTTGCTACCCGTTTGCATCGGTTCAGGTGCTTTGTCTTCTCTGTGACAGCTTCTCAAATATTGAAAGACACCTTCTTTTCGTTAGACTAGATATACCCAATCAGGGGGGGATTTCAACCGGTTCGCGGCGGTCCCTGCGAACCGGTTGGTCGGCGAACCCGGAAGTAAGTAACTTCCGGGAACGGCGAAGGCCCCCCCCGCCCGCCCGCGGTCCTTACCCGGTTTTGACGAGTTCTGCGCTTCCACGCATGCGCAGGACGCATACAGCGCCTGCGCGATC